AACAACGAGCAGATGGGAAAATGCAAGGAAGATGAGCATTAGCGAACTTCAGCAATCAAACCGCATCATACATATGAGCCCAGATAGTTTTGACCTCGAACCACAGCAGACTGGCATCACGAGATACACCAAATAAGAACACACCAAGAGTTCAAAATTGACAATGCTGAAGCAGTCCCATCATCATCAACTACGAACCAGAGTTGATATCCTATTGGCGCTCGGCGCCCAGACTACAGGTGGCAGATCCTATCTAGCCTATACTTCGAAGCAGAATGATGACATCAACAGCGTTCCCGAAGTACGAGCATATGGCGACCAATGTCGCATGCTTCAGCACCAGGTATGTCTCTCGTAACACTCACAACCCCGATCCACACCGCACAGATGCCACTAGCACCCCAAGGACCACCCTGCGCTTCACCTAGCATACAGCAGCGCAGCTTGGCTATGGCTGCGTGCTCCCTCCTACTCGCCCGTGAGAGCGTGAGTGCCAGCCAGCCAGCGGATTGCGCAGCAGCGCTCACGCAGCATGCAGCCAGCACCGGCATGCCGAATGAGGAGGCAGGCCCTTCCCTATATCGAAGTGGCCTGCCTGCTTCCAATCCAGGAAGCTTCCGGTAGGCCCCGGTAGGCACAGGCCCAGTCACGAAGAGAGCAGGCCTTGGGCCTGAAGTGGTTGCATGCGCCCAACTGCTTTCGGCCTGTGTTTGGCCAGGTACCCGTATCCAGCCCAGGGCCTGCTTCACATTCATTTACACAGGCGGCCCAGGGCTTGGATTCATTCAACCAACTGGCGCAACGCAACTGTCTGAATTTCCCCGATGCGGGGTACCCTGAAGAATGAGGCCCAAAGGGCCTGTCGTGCCTGCCTTCACTTAGGGCGGCCGACCTTGTTGCAGATAGGGCTCCGTAGGGGCTAAGCGGGCGTAGCCTCGCACTTGCGTGCAATTCATTGCTTTCACCGCTGAACAGATGAGAGGAAGAGGATAGGGAGATGTAGCGACTTATATGCAGATGGTTGCTGTTTTTTAATGTTTTATGCCCTTGACAAATATATTTTGAAAGCTCACAAAGAACAGGGCGGAAGATGAGGGTGAGACGTTTGATGATGTAAGTAATAGGAGGATAAAAAATGGTTTCTCACTGAAACTCCCCTATTGTGGCCGTTAGGCAGGATGCAAGTGGCTGTGGATCAAGAAAAGGAGGGTTGAAGATGAGGGAGGCGCAAGTGTGGAATACAGTTAGGAGAAGCCGCGAGTGAGTGAGGATGAGAAGACGCAGAGGAGAGGGAAGGGGGGTTCCTTAAGGAGATATATTGGAAGAAAGAAAACGACAGGAGGAGGATGAGTGGAAGAAAGATAAAAAATGGCAGGAGCATGAGTGGCGACTTCTGAGTCAATCATGCCAAGGTCACAAATGGTAGAGTGAAAGTCAGGAATGAAGATCATGAACAAGAGGATTGAAGTGGGGGTTAAGATGAATGAATGGAGGGGTGGAGGAACGGTGAGAAGTGGTGCATCAAGTTTCCCCCTGGGAAACAAATGTGAAATCTCACCAGGAGCAGGCGGAAGAAGAGGGGAGGGGGGTGACGGAGAAAGGACTAGTAGGAGAAAATTTATTTTCTTTCCAACCTTGGCTAATTTCCCCCCTCCCCTGCCTTTCCCCAAGTTTGGCAGAATGTAAGTTTGCTTTTCTTTCCACCCTTGGCTATTTTTCCCCCTCCCCTGCCTTTCCCCAAGTTTGGCAGAATGTAAGGGCTGTAAATCGTAAGCAAGAACCGTCACTTGTATACATTTGCTTACACAAGCAGCCGTTATAGGTGCTCACTGGAATAACACTTTTCAAGCGTGGCATGAACCCTCAGCGTGTCTATATCAGACTCGAACCGTGGTATCTATGCATTCAAGGACATAAATTGGCCGCCACATAGTGGGAACGTCGCTCTTGCGATTTTTCGAGCTTACTATTCTGATGAAAGGAAAAACCAAAACGGCAGGTTGAGGGCCTACGCGCTGTGGGAGAAAAATCTCGGCTTGAGGTGTTCTTATTTTAAGCTGTGGAAGGAGCGGCTCTACTACTGGCCTCACCATTTTTTGATCCGTGTGCAATGCGCGGCCTGTGCACGGTGGGCATGCACTGCATGTGCCGGAACTATGGTTGGTAAGCTAGGTAGCGTAACTGGGTGGGTAGGTGGTTAACTTCTGTTAATCAAGTGATTCAAGTGGGAAATGAGATCTGAGGGTATTTGTATCCTGGACGTGTGTAGATATGTAAGTACCACTCCTTACAATTCTTGTCTTTTTGTTTGCTTTGCTGTGTGGACAGCTTCTGTTCTTTTTTTCTTTTTTTATTTATTTTTATTTTTTACTTTCATGAAGGGCGACGGCCTTGAGATATCATCATTGAGCTGACCAGCCCCAGACAATTCACATATATTTGGTTTTACTTATCACGTACCATCATCTGGATTTGAACAAGGGTCTGGATTTCAACAGTTCATGGGTGTACCCTCTGAGCTACGCTCTTGGGTCGGACAGCTTCTTGCACTTCTGTGGCAAGCTAAGGAGTCCGCTCAATGTGTTGCAGCGCCAATTTTTCTTATGTGACCAGAGCCACTGTGGGCCAACGTCGATTTTTTGTTTTTAGTTGTTTTCAAGTGAGGCCTTGTGCTACAAATACCTATGCCGATCTTTTTTTTGTTTTGTTTTTTTGTTTTTTTTCGTTTTTTTGTTTTGTTAACGCCCAGGTTGTTGTAGAGATGCGAGTCAGACTTTGGAAGACCCCCGGGACTCGATCCTTCGGAGTTCGGATGGCCCACTTAGCCTGCTGGACCGCCTATACAGAGTACCTTTTTTTTTTCAGACTATCCTAAGTCCTATCGCAAGGCGTGTCCCTCTGATGCCTACCAGTTATGAGCAGAGACCGGAGCCAGTCCCTGCAGATTCCAGTCCCCTAACTGCGCTATTATGGGCCCACTCTAGGCAGATTTGTCCCCCAACCCGACTTAGTAGAACCCCAGCCGATCCCCCATCGGATGGGTGTGAATGACCAGCCACCCTCCTAGTAATGTAAACTACCCCCCCAAGCTATCCCACACCTATACTGAATCGTAAGACAAACATCTTCATGGAATGAATTCAGAGTAATTTTCCTGAGTATAATTTCTTTAAACGTTTTGCTGTTCGTACCATGGGAATACCATGGGAATCAGTTGAAAAATAGGTGATCTAAACACTTGACATGAATGTCTTCCGAATGTACCCTGATGAGTTGTGTTTTGTGGAGACTTGGTACAATTGGGAAAGGGGAATTGATCTTCGGATGATGTTTGTTTGGTGATCATGCAGGCGAAGCAGCGGCTTGTCAGCTCGGGGAGTGTTGTTCATCCTTACCCTTTCTGCTGGCGATCGGAGACTCCACTGATCTACAAGGCAGTCCCTAGCTGGTATGTTCGTTATTACTCATGGTCTTCGGGGAATGCGAATCCCATTCACATGTCAACCCAGTGTCTTTTAAGTGTGCCGGTGTAGAGCGCCAGGAACATTTGACTTTCTCAAATTCTCACCTTGTTTCTCTGAGTTGCTGTGACCGTGCTCAGTTCACAGTGAAATACAACTTTGCCGCAATGCAATAGTTCGCAACTCAAGAAGAAGAACTTGGAAAGGAGGAGGTGGGTAAGGAAAGGAAAAGTAGTACACAAGATTCAAAAAATCTCATCTCCTCGTCCAAAAGCCATCATCATCTCCCTCACATGATTGCCTTGTCTTCGGATAAACAGTCAAAGACAACAATGAATGACGGAATGACTGAACAAGTATCTCTTCTTCCTCACCCTCAGCTCCGCCCGCTTCAACCCAGAGTGCCATTTCATTTACCTCTGTAACTATGTCCATTCACCATTCCACGCCTCATGGTATGCAAACACACATTACAAGAACAGAGTAGCTCTTGGACACAGACTCAGACACAGCAAGCGTCACGGATATGGGCTGTTGCCTTCACATATAATTCATGGACCCTGTTGGATAATCGCAGCAGGGTGCACTAGGTGGGTTGTATTACCCCTTTCTATCACTGACTGGCGGGTTCCCGCTCGGTCAGGCTCACCAATCAGGAACAGTATGCGGTTGTTCAGTTTTAGCTCTGCTGCTCGGCAGAGCAATCTTGCGGAGCTCCTGGCCGGGCCGTGGCACTTGCCTGTTCAGATGAGACTGATTCTGTCTTTGATGGCTAGCAGGAGCTTCAGAGGACCATCATCTCAACATGCCACTGTGTCTTCATAAGCACAGGCCAGTTAGTATGTGCACAGCATAATGTGAGAGATGAGAGCTGTGCCATCTTTGCCTTGCATTCATCCCCGGACCCTGACTGTTGCTGCACGTCCTCACCTGCCATCTTCAGCTTGCCTCAGAGAGAGAGAGAGAGAGAGAGAGAGAGAGAGAGAGAGAGAGAGAGAGAGAGAGAGAGAGAGAGAGACTGTATAGTCATTT